GCCAGTGGAGGGACTTTGGAGAAGGGGACAGGTCACAGTGCGTAAGGAAGGGATCTTTCTGTGGGTGGCTGGGGGCCAGTGAGCCCGTCACTCCCCCATACAGTGGAACCTCGTTTCTCGAACGTCTCCCATCTCGAACAATTCACTTCCCAACCTGACAGCCCTTTCATGCGGATGCCTGTATGTCAGTCAAGCATCTCTCAGGTGACAAGGGAGAGCGCGCGCGAGTATGGATCTGGTTAAACGGTTAACATCTCAGGGTCTGGTGCCGTGAATATTTTTGTGGTTTTTTTGCTTTTGTTGCTGCTTATAATTATTGTTAAATTTCCGTTTTTTAAAACATTTTTCATTTTTTATGTACGTTTCCTTTCTTAGTAAATTTTCATGTCCTTTTGTTTTTAAGGTGTTTGTTTATAGATTAAACAGTACAATATATAAGAAAGGTTAAAACGGGATCATCGGTGGGTCTGGAATAGATTAATTTACGTGATTTCTAGGGGGACAAAAATGATTTGATTTTCGAACGGCCTTCCGGAATGAATTAAGTTCGAGAAACGAGGTTCCGCTGTATTTCCTTGGCTGTCACCCTGAGGAATGACACAGGGGTACAAGCAAAAATAGTTTATTTGAGGGCGGGAGACCCAAAACTGGAGGGTCCAGGGATGAGGCTACAGCAGCTGCCGGGAATTGGCACAGATGACACCCCCCACCCCCACCGAGGGGAGCCCAGCAGCAACAAGCCCGTCCCGGGGGCCCCCCAGCTGCCTCCCCCACTTCCTGGAGGGAGGATTGTGCAACCGCCAGGAATCGTCATCGTCGTCATCAGAACACGGAGAGGTCCTCGAAGTTTGGCCAGTAGTTTTCGGCGTAGTCATCGGGATTAATAATAGTTACTCTGACAAGCACAGTGAGTGTGCCAGGCGTGGACCCACCATCCAGTGGTGAGCGGGACCTGGGGTGAGGGGAGGGAGGCAGGGACAGGGGTTCTCGCTGGGAGGCCCCATG